ACACATTTTGTGTCCATATATTTCTGTTTTGGTGGTCATTCCACACCGTGCATGCGTGCGCGGGTCATGGTCAAATATCTGGATTAAGAGGTTGCTTTTTCTTTGCACAGCATGAAAGAAAGGTGAAATGATAGTTTTTTAAGCAGACGTTGAGTTCAATCATTTGTACGGCCCTCGGAGGATGTTGTAAAAATTGAAATAGCCCTTGAGAGGAAAAAGGTTCCCCACCCCTGGCCTAAAGGATAGCCATAACATATAGGGTACTATATAGGTATATTATATAAATATGATTATTGGTGAAGTTGTTACCTTTCACTTTGAGGTAATGTCCTCCGAAACGGTACGCCTCAAAGTTGAGTGACAGCGGCGTGTTGGACTGATCCAGGAACAGGTCGACCCGGCACAGCTCAATGCCGTTCCTCTCAAAAACTGGACCCAGAACCTCTCTGGTAACACAAACGGAAAAATCAAACTGTTAATTATGGCGCATATCAAACTCACGCAATATCTTTTATGAGTCTGATCATCCTATCTCTCTTACCTCAGGGTTTTCTTTTTCATTGCCGGTACAATTTCCGTGTTTATGTCCACGTTGAGATCAAACTTGAGGCTGAAGCACTCCTTACTGGGGTCCTGCAGGGGGAACAGACTGTTAGTTTACACAGGTGGGGGGATGCATGTGTTCACTCAGCGAGTCCACAGGGGGGGCTCCTTTTCACGACACAGCCTGCAAATACCATTATGCTATATCAGAATAAAGGTGGCTGCGTTCTTATTGCTCACCTCGGCCTGTATTGTGCACCGTTTATGAGAAACCGTGTTAATTCTGAGTCACAAAACAAATGACAGATAGTTAATCCAAGATAAAGATAGTCTTTCCGGAGAATAACTGTAGACTAATTCCAGGAACAGACTGTGGTTTCATGGGGGGGGGGGTGTTTTCATGCTGCACCCTGCTTCCTGTGTATGATTACTTACATCAGTGTGTCGTCTCCGTGGTTTCTTTTTCAACTTCATTCCCCCTGTTTTACGCTCCCTGCAAAACAGTTACACGCATGTTATCACACCGTTTATACTCCCAACATCTGAGGAACTGCTTAATGTGAATTAAAAAGAAAGCGATCAGAGGACACACATTTCATGGCTGTGATTTATCCTTCGCTCTGAACAGACATAACTCCACTGACAGGCAAGGCTGACACAAACACTAGAAGAACATAACAAGAGGGGGTTACCGACCCGCGGTCATTGCTCCCATCTTCCTCTTCCTCGAGGTCGGAGGGGGGGCTGGTGCGGGGGGGACAGGAGCGCGTCGACACGTTCCGAGCCAGGATGGAAGCTAAAAGTCAAGAAAACACAGCGGTCAGTCCCTCTGTTGGAATAAAACTACGACAACATTTAGAAATCAAGCTTTTAAAAAGGATCAGTCCCCAGAAAAAACATACATTAACAGGTTTCCTCCGATAACTCTTGTGCTATCTAGCAAAGCAAATAGTTGTGTTTGATTTCTGCCAGACTTTGATCCGTTTGTCTCCATGGAGGATATTTGCATTTTGATTGTGGGTGTTTACATTACATTTAAAAAGTGTACTTGTTGTTCTTGTATCATGATCCTTGGCTGTCCACTTAGGGTGACCAAGTGCCCCGTCTTGTCTCACACATGTAGCCGTCGCCCACATTTGATTGACCGTTGCCTGATTAAAACTTGGCTTTTATCCAATGGCTGTTCAGAAAACAATAGAGCGCTATTATCATTAGCCGTATCAGACGTCAATCAACAAAGAAATGTGGTGCGGGGTCATTCCCTGTGTTTGTTACTTTTGAGTTTTTTTCAATCAGGCATGGAGGTGAATACGATTTGAAGCTCACAAGAAACACTTGTTGCAGTAACATAAAATAGTCTTTGTCCCACATCTGGCTTGTTGGCACCCTAGGTCCACTGATAGTGTCCATCACAAATAAACATCCTAAAATCTGCTTGGAAATCTCCAAAATAACTCCAGAACTTTCCTGAGAATCATCATGTTTTTATGTTTTCTTCAGTATCAAAGTATTAAAGTCCACGGTACGATATTTATCGCGATATTGAAAAATAAAGGGGAAAAAAATGTGAATTTTTTATTTTTATTTTTTTTAAATTACATTGTTTTTCTTTATTAAATAATAAATCTGATTTGTACAGCATTTTAGTAGGATAGTAGTATTTTAAAGTGTCAACAATATAATAATCAGACCCTGCAATAGAATAAATCAAGTTTCACTTTAGTTTTTCAAGTAACTCAACTCTAACTCACTCACTCAGCATCATCAAGGTTATCTTTTAGGAGTATGAGCATGTCCACATTTCCAGGTAGAAGCTGGGATGTTTGGGCGTTTACAATATCCCCTGCTGTGGAAAAAACTCTCTTGCTTGGTACTGATGTTGCTGGGACAGAGAGATATGCTTTGGCCATGGGTGACAGCAGTGGGTAAAACTGTGCATTGTCTCTCCACCACTTCAAAAACAATACAGTTTTTGCCAAGAAGGTGAGGCTTATTGACAGGGCGAGATATAAATATACTGTTGGTACTTGTCAATGTCTCTAGGTATGTAGATGTAGCCAGTCCTTTTGTGTTATCTGTGGTTTTATGCTGCCATGTTGGACAGGTCTCCCTTGAAAATGAGGTCGATGATCTCCATGGGATCATCTGGTTAAATAAAGGTTTAAAAAAAAATTAATCTTTTTTTTTTTTTTTAATCGCGGTAGATTTAGTCAGTCTCACGACGGTATTGAGACATTTATTTACC